TGGAACAATCAAAGAAATCCAGATTTAGTGCAATCCATTGAACTGTATTTATTGAAAGCTGGTGAGGTTCCCCAGAAAATTGTTAGAATACATGTAAAAACTAAATGTGGTCTCATTTTTTCTTTTTAAATTGGAAAGGAGGGAAAAAATGGCAATGGTACTACCACAATGCTGGAGAGAGTGTATCATTTTTCTGGAGGACAGTTTGAAAACACATATCAAGAGTATTAAAATGCTTTCCCCTTTGACTCATTAATTCCTCAAAAATATCTAAAGATTTAAATTAAATTTGTAAAAATATACTACATGGGTGGACTTTATAGTAATCTAGATAGCCATTAAAATAATACTGAAATATATTGGGTTGGCCAAAAAGTGCCTTCGGTTTTTAAGTAAAAATAAAAGACACATTTTTCATTTTCACCAAGAACTTTATTGAACAACGTATTCACCTTTTGTTCCACTACCTTCTGCCATTTTTCAGGCAACTTCATAATTCCATCTTCCCAAAACTTTTTATCTTTTTGAGCAAAGAACTGTTCCAGGTGCCTTTTACAGTCTTCTACAGAATTGAAATTTTTCCCATTAATAGAATTTTGTAAAGTCCTAAATAAATGGAAATCCGAAGGTGCAATGTCTGATGAATACGATGGATGAAGCAGAATTTCCCAGCTAAGCTGTAACAGTTTTTGCCTGGTCATCAAAGAAACATGTGGTCTTGCATTATCCTGATGGAAGATTATGTGTTTTCTGTTAACTAATTCTGGATGCTTTTAGTCGAGTGCTGCTTTCAGTTGGTCTAATTGGGAGCAGAACTTGTTGGAATTAATCGTTTCGTTTTCCAGAAGGAGCTCATAATAGAGGACTCCCTTCCAATCCCATCATATACACAACATCTGCTTCTTTGGATGAAGACCGGCCTTTGGCGTGGTTGGTGGTGGTTCATTGCACTTGCCCCACGATCTCTTCCATTCCACATTGTTGTACAGTATCCACTTTTCATAGCTCGTCACAATTTGTTTTAAAAATGGAAAATTTTCATTACATTTAAGTAGAGAATTGCATGCAGAAATACAGACAAGAAGGTTTTTTTCGCTTAACTTGAATGGAACCCAAACATCAAAGCGATTCACATAACCAAGCTGGTGCAAATGATTTTCAACACTTGATTTGCATATTCTGAGTATGTCAGCTATCTCCCGAGTGGTATAACATAAATTGCTCTCAATTAATGTCTCGATTTGAGCGCTATCAACTTCAACTGGTCTACCCGACCGTGGCGCATCGTCCAGCGAGAAATCTCCAGCAAGAAACTTCGCAAACCACTTTTGACATGTTCGATCAGTCACAACACCTTCTCCATATACTGTACAAATCTTTTTTTTGCGTTTCAGTTGCGTTTTTACCTTTCTTGAAATAATAAAGCATAATATGCCAAAAATGTTGCTTTTTTTCTTCCATCTTCAATATTAAAATGGCTACACAAAAATTCACCAATTGTGAGGACTTCTCTGGTAGCGCAGTGGTTAAGAATCCACCTGCCAATGCAGGGGACACAGGTTTGAGCCCTGGTCCAGGAAGATCCCACATGCCGCGGAGCAACTAAGCCCATGCACCACAACTACTGAGCCTGTGCTCTAGAGCCCGTGCTCCGCAGCAGGAGAAGCCACCGCGATGAAAAGCCCGCGCACCGCAATGAAGAGTAGCCCCCGCTCGCTGCAACTAGAGAAAGCCCGTGCGCAGCAACGAAGACCCAACGTAGCCAAAAAAAAAAAAAAATTCACCAATTCTGATAAGTCTTTTTTTAAATGCACGCTGATATGACAGCTGTCACATACAATCTAACAAAATTGTTTCAAATGAAGTTAAAGACACCTAAGTGCTACTAGAGCCATCTCACAGAAAAAAACAAATGAACCTTTTGGCCCACCCAATATTTATCAAAATATTAACCAATAAAATTTCTGTGTGATACAATTTGGGGTGGCTTTTATTGTCTTTTCATTTATCTGTATCCCTCTGCCTTTATTTATCTGTATCCCTCTGAATATGTATTACTTGCAATTGTTAAAATTATAATTTACTATAAAATAAGGAATGAAAGACTTTTTTTTTGCCTCCCCATAGGTTATCTCAATTTACAGAAAATATCCTATTTAGAATCCTCCATTTCAACTTTCTACTTTCATATCACTTTATATTTTATGTATTTTGGTATACTTGCATTTTTCTGCAATTTTTAGTTGTATTCATATCCTGCCTCCATCATTAGGTTGTAAGTTTCTAAGAGCCCTATCTACAGAAATGTCTGCCCATTGAAGGATACCCCAACACACTGATGACTGAAGGACAGGATTCATACACTGAGCTGTAGCACAGAAAGAACCAGTAGCAGCACGAAGCACTACAGCCCTTTGTTCCTGTTAATTAAAAATATAACAACAACAAAACCCACACATGCCACACACTCTCAGATATTCTAGTTGAAGCCATGCTAGGAATCAGACTAGCTGTCCTTATTGCCTCCCACATAACTGTGCAATGCAATGCTTTCTAAACATCGCTATCAGTCATACAATCCTCTATAACCGCTGAAAGGAGCACGGGTTCTTTTTGGTTTTGTGTTTCTTTTTTGTTTTCTTTCACTTAATTATTCACAATAACCTGGTGGACTTGCATTCAGATCAGAAAAATGTTTCATTTGGTTGTATGTGAGCTGCTTGTAAGTGCCTCTTTTTCTGAGCTGCCTGTCAACCCACCAGTCTTATAGGCCCAGAATGAGTCTCCTGGGGCTGATAAAAGATGGATGATTAGCCCCTGATGCCGGCACAGCCTGCCACAACTGCACGTGAAAAGTACGAATCTCTTTTTGTCTTGAAGAATGGGTTGTAAAATTTCCTTTTTCAATTTCAAGCCAAGAAGATGGGTTTTATCTCTTTATAAAACACTGGGTCATTATTGGGCTAACTGTAACAGAAACAATTTACCTGGTTGAGGCTCAACAGCAAGAAGGAATGAATTCTATCCAGGTTTTCAGTGTGCTCCACTTCAGCCTGGCCCCCTAGAATATAAGCTACACAACAGACAGGCACTGCAGTATCAGTAGTACCTTGGTACTGATGCATAGTAGGTACTCATTAAATATTTGTTGCATGACTGAATAAATGAATGAAGGGAGCAAAGTTTGGGGATTGCTGAGACTTTGGGGTACCAGGTAGCTTCTATTACCCAAATAATCATTTCTCACTGACAGACTGCAACCTGTAATTCTAAGCTCAGAATTTAACCCATTTGGCTTAAGGTTCTTATTTCACTTAAAATGAAAATGCCCTGTGCATTGGTAAGAGAATAAATTGGTACAACCTTATTGAAAACCAATCTGGCAGTTTAGGCAAACCGAAAATATTAATTCCCTTCCACCTAGGACCAGCCCTTCCAGAAATTTATCCTCCAGAAATACGCACATACAAAGAGGTTTATTGCACTGTTGTTTCTAATGGGGGGCAAGGGGAAGAAGGGAGGGGGGAAAACCCTAACCTAACCTACATACCCATATGTAAGGGATTGGTTAGGGGAAAGCAATTTAACCACTGACTCTCCTCTCCTATTGATCAAAGATTCTGTGTGACCTTGACTCCCTCTCTCCTCCAGGGTGCTTCTAAGAGGCATGAGCCAGTTCCTCTGTGGTGACAACAGGGAAACCTGAGAGGCACAGAGGGCAGGAGATACCATCAAGTGGCTCAGAGCCCTCATGGAACTGGAACAAGAGACAGGTGAGGACGTGAAGGGGTACATAAGAGCATCTGATATAGTGGCTGTATGTTTTTTTACAGGAATGCTTGTCTTTTAGAGATTCATACTGGACTGTTTACAAAAGAAATTATACAACGTCAGAAATTTCCCAAATAATTTAATGTCAGGAGAAGATGGTGGGGTTATAGATCCAATAAGATTGAACTAGGTGATGGATACATAGGGGTGCATAATTCTATTCTACTTTTTAATATATTTGAAATTTTCTATAATAAAAATTTTTCTTAAGAAAATGTGCCCTTTGGTTTCTTAGAGATGTTAAGTCTTCCCAAGTTCCCAGTTTTAATCAGTCAATAAAAATGTTTGATATCAAGCCAAAAGATAACAGCCTGAAAAGAAAACCAACCTAATCACGCAGAAAACTACGTGTGCCAACTGGGAGATGGAATGTTTCCAGAGTTCAGAGAAAGGAGAGAGAACTGTAGGCTGGGAGGTCAGAAAGTCTCACGGTGGAGGTGAGACAGTAAGGAGACAGGTCTAATCATAATGGACACATATCCCATGTTGCCAAGGGGTCTCTGGGTCCCTGCAAATGGGAATGCCAGCCACATCAGCCCTACTTGGGTCCTCATAGCACAGTCCTTAGGGAAATGCATTCCTGGAACACTGGCATTTGCTCTTGGATCTCCTCAATAACTCTGAAGTTAAGACATGCCTTGGGCCAAAGTTTCTCCCAGGCACATGTCATATCATTCTTGGTCTTTCCTCCCAAGTGGCAGTGATGTTTATGAAGCCCTTCATAACATCCATCTTCCACCCATCTCCAGCTGGTAGTACTAATACGGTGAGTTGCAGAACACACTCACTTCGGCAGATGGCGATGTGCAGTTCCGCGGTGTGGTGGGCTAACCAACCTTTACTGGTACAGAGTACACAGTACAGCAGGCTACGGTGGTTCTCTTTGGCTGAGCACTCATAGGAGCACTCAAAGGAAGCACCACACACACACACACACACACACACACACACACACACACACACAAAGCACACACATATGTTATACCGTAGTGTATTTATGTCATCAAGTATATATATATATATATATATTTCTTTTTTTTTTTTTTGGTCTGGCCACACCACGTGGCATGCGGGATCTTAGTTCCCCAACTAGGGATCGAACCCATGCCCCCTGCAGTGCAAGCACAGACTCTTAACCACTGGACCACCAGGGAATTCCCCTACAAACATATTTTTATGGAAAATATTTCAGAGATAAATAGCATTATAATGAATCAGTACTGAGGAGGGCTAAATAGAATATGAGTATGATATCTAATATGTGCCAGTCATATTTGCACATATTATGAAGCACTTTATACATATTATCTCTTTTAATCCTTACAATGACAGCCCTATTAGCAGGTTCTATTATTACCCCTCAGATAAAAACTCATTATACATATTATCTTATGTACTCTTTATAACGATAGTGCTGTTAATGGTTTTTATTATTGTCCCACAGATAGAAAACCTATTGCACAGAGAGGTTAAGTAACTTACCCAAGATCACTTAAGTAGTGGAGCCAGTACTCAAATCCAGAGCTCATGTGCTTAACTGTTGAAGTTATGCCAATTACTCTGCATACAAAACGTCCTTCCAGGTACAACTGGATTCTGGTGCAAGGTTCTGAGTGAGTACTCCTTTATTGTACATACTTTTGTAGAGTAAAAGACTTCCCCATATTTGCCTTTTGGGGATGACAAGTAGGATTAGCTAAGGCCAATTTTCTTGGAGAAGGGCTATATGCAGGGAAACTGCTAGCCCATCTAGTAACTCTGTGCAATCTGGAACAAAGCTCTCTACCAGGGCGATTGGTTGGGCTGGTAGAGTTTGACTGGGTTTCAGCAGCCTTGCTCCCATAGGTGGTAACCCTGGCCGTATGAGTGGAAGAGGGTGTAACAGGAGGCCTCTGTGGAGTGAGATCACCCCTTCCATTGCAAATGGTGGGGGCCATGTAGTCTCCCCTCTTCTCCTCAGTTACCAGAGGGAGAGAGTAACTGCTGACCGGCTCTCTCTCCCTGCACCTGTGCTCCAACAGCCAACTGTTTCAAAAGCACCAAAGCCTGTGTCAAGGGCCTCTCAACCCAGACAGAGCAGAGCACGTCCCTTACAATCCACTCTTTTTGTAGCCCAACTTAGTAAGGAGTGGTCGCCACTCACTCTGCTTCCTCTGCTCTCTTCACTCCCCTGCAATCTAACTTCCACCCCTCCACATCACTGAAACTCCTTCCGCCATGTTTAGTCTCTGTCCTCCTTGACCACTCTGCAGCCTTTACCACTGACAATGACTAGTTCCAGAGTCTTCTCTTTTGGCTTTTCAGATTCTCCTCCTATTTCTTTGGCTGTTCTTTCCCAGTCTCTCCCATGGCATTTTCCTCTTCAACCTCCTTTTTTTTTTTTGGCCACGCCCTGCAGCATGTGGGATCCTAGTTCCCTGACCACAGATTGAACCCAGGCCACCTGCATTGCAAGTGTGAAGTCTTAACCACTGGACCACCAGGGAAGTCCTAGGATGCCCCTCAGCCTCCTTTTAAATGCTGGTATTCCCCAGGGTCTCATGCTTGGACCTACCTTCTTCTCTTTCTTCAGATGCTCTCTGGGTGATCACATCTATTCCTAAGGCTGCCCTACCATCTCTTCTGAGGATTCCTCACACTGTTTCTGCTGTCCAAATCTTTCCTAAACTTGAGAAGAAAAAAAAAGTTAATTTCAACAAACCTTTGCTTATACAATTTTTGAAAATAAACTTCTTTCATTTTATAATGTTCTTTAGATAAATGTTGGCCAAAACCTCAGAGCTCAAGATTTAGGTCATTCAATGTCCAGAAATATCCACCCCATAACACTTAGCGAAGCCTGTCCTCATTGTAAATGAATCAGCTAAATCACACTTACTGTTCTGTTAGAAAAAATCCAACTTCATTTTTCAATGCAAACAAAAATGTTAATATTGTTTCAAGAAATAGTCTTAAAAACCACTGGGAGAGAAAATCTGGAAGACATTTTGTAAAACTAATGATTAAAAGCAGTCAAATTGATATTAAAATAATACCAATATAATTAAATTACCCATTTTCATAATAGCTATAAAAACAAGAATAAATTTATATGCTGTTCCTCTTTTCTTGAAGTATAATAATGTAATATAAGTACGGTCAAAATGATGTTATAATAAATTGAGAAAAATAATGAAAGTTTTAAATATTTTTGCAGTAACTGTGTGTGTGTGTAATTATGGCACTCACCTTTGGAAAAAATTAAATAAGTATTATATAAAAACAGGTAAAAACTGCCATCATTACCACTGCCCTCACCACTACTTTTGCTACACATTATGACCAGACTTCTCATATGTAAGTAACTAAAGTGGAAGGCAAATGACTAAAAAGGCATTTAATCATGTACTGCTAAAAATGAATTGATCAGCAGCTAACATCTAATTCTCTAAACCATGTAAAAATTTAATCTGCTGGTTTTATTCAAAATATATTGAAGTGTTGGTAATCAAGGAAAATATTACAATTAGCTTTAAAAGAATCAGCATCATCAACCTGTACTGCTACAGCTCGGCCAAAGATATGTCTCAGGAAAAAGAGCCCTTATCTTATAGAGATGCCTTCTGACATATCTACAGATGAAATGATATGATATCTAGGATGTGCTTCAAAATCATAAGGGAGTGATGAGAACTGTACTTTACCTCTATGGTCTTCCTCCCAAACCCCCTAACTACAGTCTAAACATGAGAAAAAATATCAGACAAATCCCAACTGTGGAATATTTTGCAAAATACCCGAGCTGTATACCTGAAAACTGTCAATGTCATCAAAACCAAGAAAGTTCTGAGAAACTGCAAGACCAGAGGAGACTAAAGAGATAGGACGACTCAATGTAATGTGGTATCCTGGGTGGGATCCTGGAAGAGAAAAGGGACATTAGGGGAAAACTACTGAAATCGAAATGAAGTATGGAGTTTAGTTAATAATACTGAAGTTCCTTCTTTAATTGTGACAAATGTACTGTGGTAATGTAAGATGTTAACAATAGGGAAAAATGGGCATAGAGTGTATGACAACTCTATCCTACCTTTTGCAAGACTATTTTAAAAGACGATTCTAAAATTAAAAGTTTAAGATAATCACTATGGAGAGGGAAAAGCAGATGGGGTGTGTGGTTGGGACAGGATTGGCCACGTGTTAGTGCTTATCGGGGTTACATAATGAAAGTTCATTATACTATTCTGTCTACATTTATGTGTGTTTGAAATTCTCTATTATAAGGTTAAAAAATACATACATTGCGTTGGGGGTTCCTCAAAGCCATCCTCAGGTTCAATGATTTGCTAGGAGGACTCCAGGACTCAGCATATAATCATACTCACGGCTATGATTTATTACAGTGAAAGGATAGAAAGTAAAATCAGCAAAGGGAAAAGGCACAGGAGGCAAAATCCTGAGGAGACCAAGCACAAGCTTCCTAGAGTCCTTCCCCTCTGGAGTCATACAGAATGCACTTAATTCCTTCCCAGCATCAAACTGTAATAACACACACGTGTCTATCAGGGAAGCTCATTTGAGAAGCCTGTGTTGTTACTGGGGGCTGGTCACATAAGCACCGTCTACCGAGCACATGTCAAGATTCCAGACTGTCAGACGATATTCAGTATCAACCACGTTGTTTGTAAAAAGCATTTCAGGCACAGTGAGCCGTCCTTACCATTTAGGGAAAGTGTAATATCAGTGTAGAGAACTGTTTACCAGTCAAGTTCCCAAGTGCCAGCCAAAGGCCAACCTTGCAAGCAGGCCTTTCTAAAGATAGCAGTCTCAGGCTTACACACACACAGAGGCATACTACTCTCTGGGATACAGCTCAGATATGTTTCATAACTCACATCCTCCTCATCTATGGAAGGTAGCTCCACTGCCCTCACTAGGAGACCTCATCTCCTATTCTGGTCCAGAGGTGCATGTCTGAAGGGGGAAGGGAGGGCCTGTGAGGTGCAGAGAGCTGAGAAGAGCAAGTTCCAAGTTTCTCAGTGGGCACAGCTGCACAGCCTGGAACTCTGCACTCCTGTTCTTTGCTTTTTTCCTTCTGTACACGGTGCTTTAGTTCTGGGAAATCTACCTTGAGGACAGAAGAGAAAGAGAAGGGGGAAAAAGAAAAATGGGAAAGAAAAGAAGGAGGACTTTTGAGAGAATGAGACAGAATCTGGTCAGCAATCTGCTCCTAGATAGCTCCTGGATCCATTCTCGTGCCAGTGCAGAAGGCTGTGAATATCATGAAACAGGTGAGTTTGAGGTTCCTAAAGTATATACAAGTGGTGATGTCCTGTAGGCAGGCAGATCTGGAGCTGGTGAAAGGCTGAGGGGTACAGGCCTGCAAGGGCTCCCATCCCCTTCAAATGAAGCAATATACACACTAATACACTACAGCACACAAGTAATGAGTTTTTGGTTAAACCTTGTAAATATCTTGTGAATAGTGTCTTTCTCTATGTGTGTGTGTCAAAAGAATTACTGTAGCTTCGTGTCATCCTGTTCGGCATTTAAAAAAAAATTTTTTTTTATGTGCTTGGAAGCCTCAAAAAATGGAATTGATCCAGGCTTCTTGTAATTTCTTGGAGCCCCAGGAAACAGAACTGGTTGGTGATACAGATTCAGAAGTCATCAGCACCAAGGCCTTGGTAAATTGAAAACAAGTGAGTGAAGGGGATCGCCCAAGAGAGCTCCTTTATGGAAAAAGAAGGCTCTGGGACGAGAACATTTAAGGCACTCCCTAAAGAGGCGCCTACAAAGGAGGCTAACCAGGAATGGCCAAAGAGGTAAGAGAAAAATCAAGTGAAACGAAGTCGGGAAAATATGGCCAAAGAGAGGGGAAGTCAAGAGGACACAAACCAAGAGTGCGTTTGAGAGGGGAAGTAATCAACAGCGTCAAATATTCGCTGATTTTTCCCGGTCAGCACCAACCAGAATAATTCTGCCAACTCCCCTCTCTCCCCTCCCCCTGGTACTGTTACTACGTCACTTTTGACTCTTACAGGGTTTCAGCCGGTGGTTTACAGTTTATGCCCTCCAATTACATGGCTCAAGCAGGAGGTCGGAATCTTACTCATTTTCCTCTTCCATAAGGCATTACGCCTCTTGCTCAATTAATATAAGTGAAACGATTTGAAGAACATTTGAAAAACCACCCCCGGGCAAAGATCTTACGTTTTAACTCGCTCCAGCAGCCAAATTCCCCCGGACACGACCAACTGCGCAGGCGCAGAGGCCGATCACCCGGCTTTCTCTGGTCTTTGCATTTGGCGCGAAATCTCCGTTTCGTGGGAGGGGCTGAGGGAGAGGCCGCGCTCATTGGACAGGTTTGGCGCGAAATCCCCGAGCTTCTGCGCCACGATTGGCTCCGGCCTTCCGGCGAAGGGGCGGGGCAGAGGAGGTGAGCGCCGAGCGGCAGCGTCCGGGGAGAAGCAACTCTCTGCGGTCCAGCGAGGCGCCGGCGGCCCCTCAGCATTAAGCAGCGATGGACCTCGCGGCGGCAGCGGAGCCTGGCGCCGGCAGCCAGCACCTGGAAGTCCGCGACGAGGTGGCCGAGAAGTGCCAGAAACTGTTCGTGGACTTCTTGGAGGAGTGAGTCGGAGGGCGCCCCTTACCCGCGGAACTTCCCCTCCCGCCCCTCGCGGCTTCCGGAGCCCGGGGGCGCCGTGGGCCCCGCGCGTGTTCGGGAACTGAGGGGTCGCGCGCCTCGGAGAGCGGGCCGCGGGGAGAAGGCTGGGCCGGCTGGGCTGGTTTCCGGGGGTGAAATCCATCTGGAGCTCTTCCGCAAACTCCTGCCGTGCGCAGTGCCCTGGGCCGAGCGCTTTAGGCCCGTCATTCAGTCCTCACAGCCTGTAAGGCTGGTGGTCGCGTAGCCCCCGGTTCCTTGTTCGGACCCTGAGGCTGGGTGGGGATGAGTAACTCGTCCAGTTAGGCCGCGCGTCCTCAGGGTCGCGGGGGAGGCCGAACTGGCGTATGAATCCTGGCGGGGGCCTGACTGGGGTCCACAGAGGGCCTGGCAGCCCTGGAGCCCGTGGAGTTGAAAGGGCCGGAGTGAACCCCGTGGTTGACAGATGCTCGGGCGAGGGCCCGATCTGCTTATGGCGCTGAACGCACTCCCTCCGTCTCTTCCTTTCCTTCCAACCCTCCAAACCCCACTTTTCTTTTTTTCTGTTGCCTTTTTTAGGCTCCAGGCATCTCAAACCCCCTCTCCCTGGCTTTCAGCCACTGCCACCAGTTACTTTTCTTAGATCGTGCAGATATAGCTCTGCTTTCCCTGAGTGGGACTCTACCGCCTCCAGGAAGAAGTGGAAGCACTGCGGAATGTCTTAGGAAATTCTTTTTTTTTTTTAAGAGCTCAGTTTTTTAATTTGATCATTTCTTGCATTTGAAGTTCTCCTCGATGACATCTTGGCCTGAGACTCTTTGCCATAGTCCTAAAAAAAAAAAAGTCATATGCGGTTTTACTAATATTTAGAAACTCCACTAAGTTGTTAGCACTAGTTATAGTGAAGCTTTTAAAAATTAGCACATGTCTTACGAAAATGCTTCCCATCCTTAAAATTTCTTTTAGCTATTCTCAAGGGCCTTAATGACTTCCATGTCTTTAAGGCTCATAACATGGCAGGAAATTCTTTTTTTTTTTTTTATTGTGGTAAAACCTTTACCATTTTAACCTTTTTTTTTTTTTCTTGGCCGTGCCCTGTGGTACATGGGATCTTAGTTCCCCAACCAGGGATCGAACCCATGCCCCCTGTTTTGGGAAGAGAGTCTCAACCACGGGACCACCAGGGAAGTCCCCATTTTAACCTTTTTTAAACACAGAGTTCACTGGCGTTAAGTACATTTACCTTGTTATACAGCCATCACCAACATCCATCTCCAGACCACTTTTCTTCTTCCCAAACTGAAATTCTGCACCCACTAAACAATGATTCACCATTCCCCCCCGACCCTCCTGCCCCTGACAACCACCATTCTATTTTCTGTCTATGAACTTGACTACTCTAGGTACCTCAGACTTGGAGTCGTACAATATTTGTCCTTTTGTGACCAGCTTACTTCACTTAGCATAGTGTGTCTTTAAGTTTTCCATGCTGTAGCATGCGCCAGAATTTCCTTTTGAATGGTGAATAGTATATCATTGTATGTCTATACCACATTTCGTTTGTCTCTTCATCCATCCGTAGATATGTAGGTTGTTTCCACACTTTTACCACTGTGAATAATTCTGCTGTCTTGTGAAATTCTGATAGAGTTAAAACCATAGTTTAATTTATATTTCCCTACTTTTGGCAATGTTACTCTCTGCCTGACAGCTCTTCATCCTTCAAAGCCTAGCTAAAGAATCATACCTCATTTGTTAAACCCTAGAAACCTTTCAGGCAGCACCAATCCTTTCTTCCCTTATGTTCCCAAGCTGCCATTTTCTGTCATCTCTGGTAATATATCTACCTGTCAGCCGTTTCATCTGAATGTAAATCCCATCCTTAATCCCCCCTAGCCACCACACCACATTACACAGGTCCTCAGTTATGTTTGATTTTAACAAATAATGTAATTACCTTTGCTTCCTTGAAGTTTGCCATGCAGCTGACTCCTGGGCACAATGATGAACAAGACAAATAATCCCTGTATTTGTTGGGGAAAAAATGTTAACGCCCTCTCAAAATACCAACTTTGATTGCCATTGCTTATGGAATAAGATCCAAATTCTTCACAGCTGCTTTTTCCAGTTTGATCTTCCACAGCCATTCTGTCATTATCCACACTCCTCCCATACCCTTCCTGACTTTGCTACATACTTGCAAACATCTGTAGCCAATCTATCCACCACTCATTTTTTTTTCTTTCAAATTTTGAAAGTCTTTCAACGCCGAATTCCAGTGTTACCTTTTATATGCATGAAGCCTTTGTAGATGTTCCTGTTAGGCAAAATTAGTTTATATTCCCCTGTCACATTCTTTTACCTCCTCCTTTTTCTTTTTCCTTTTTATTTTATTGTGGAAAGAACACTTAACATGAAATCTACCTTCTTAACAAAATTTTAACTACTGTGTTATTGTTGTACAGTAGATCTGTTAGAGCTTATTCATCTTGCTTGACTGAAACTTTATGCCTGTAGTACCTCCACATTCTCCTCTTCCTCCTACCACCATACCACTCTTTGATTCTATGAATTTGACTTTTGGGGGGTTTTTTTGGCCTCTCCCAACGGCTTGTGAGATCTTAGTTCCCTGGCCAGGGATCGAACCCCGGGCCCACGGCAGTGAAAGCGTGGAGTCCTAACCACTGGACCACCAGGGAATTCCTGAATTTGACTTTTAGATACCTCATATTAGTAGAATCATGCAATATTTGTCTTTCTGTAATTGGCTTATTTCACTTAGCACCATGTCCTCAAGATTCATCCATATTGAGACATTGCAGAATATCCTGTTTTAGGGTTGAATAATATTCTATTGTATGTGTATACTACATTTTGTTCATTCATTTGTCATGAACATTTAGATGTCTTGTCCCTCTCTTTAGTAGAAATGTCTCCTATGAGAGTGTCAACCCCAGCAGAGGGACGATGCTGTCATTTCCAGCCTGTGGTACCTCTGGCATAGTGCTTTGCAGATAGATATTTAGGTATTTAACAGTTAGAACCTGCTGTATTTGAAGGAGGAATTGATTTTTTCTCAAAACTAATCTGCATGGTTATGTTAGAAGAACAAAAATCAAATATGTTCGTATGATACACTTTTGGAAAAAACACACCAGCTTTACTTTGTGTGTGTGTATGTTTCCTTTTTCCTGAAGGTCTTAGGCGCTGAAGCACCTCATTTCTGTGTATTTATTTGTATTTTGGTTCTTAAATCAACAGCTAATCTGTCAGTTTTCTCTTTAGAAATTAAATCTTTGGATTTTAACCTGAATTTCTTTCTTTTTTTTTATATCATTAATAGAGTTGGGTTTTTTTGAGTTTTTTTTTATTATCACTTTTTTTAATATATGGCAGGTTCTTATTAGTTATCTATTTTATACATATTAGTGTATATATGTCAATCCTAATCTCCCAATTCATCTC